AGGATCTGGTAGATAGATTCATTCTTATATATTACTTTTTTAAATGCAAGGATAGTTGTAAAATCATAGGAAGAGTAACATCTGTGTAGTGTTCCAGCTCTGTGTAATGTTTTCATTTGCTTCTTCAGGTAAAATCCCAGATGAAGCCAAAGCCCTTTCTCTATTGGCACCTGCTCCTACTATGACAAGTCTGATGCCTGGTGCAGGGTTGCTTCCTATACCTACACCAACCCCTTTGGCTACAGTAAGTAAAATTCAGTCTCTGTTTGATTTCTGGTTTTCCTTTATGTGTTCAGAGAACAAGAACTATCTGATCTGTGGACGTTGTCCTCTTATATGCTAAATCAGTGATGATTTAGCTGTGGTACCTCTTGAGGGTAGATCACAAGATGTCTGTGCACTACCTTTCCTGGGTGTTTCTTTCAGATTCTTGTTTTGCAAAATAGTGAGTAAATACAGGTTTTGGTTGTGTCCTTTTTAATTGTTGTCCCTTCCCTAGACCCATTAATTTGATCCAGTGGCAATGCTATCCACCTCCTAAAAATTTGTTAAAACACAGTTCTTCAGAATATTAAAATGCTACATTAGGGTGCTTTTACTTGATATCTCTATGACAGGGATTTTGACTGTTAACCTAACAATGTTTTCACTGCCAAAAGTATAGGACCTAGCTGCTGCTGTTTCTCCTCAGTTCCCTTTTGCGTCTGTTTCCCAAATCTGGGTTCTTTACCCAGTGTGCAAGCCAATAATACACAGAGTGGAGGTATTCCCAAGTTTACTACGTTGATGCGCATGAATGGGTGCCTGTCCCAAGACAGCACACCCTTGACTCAAAAAGTTTCTGTTTTTATACACTTATTCAAATAATTAATACATATTCATTGTTATTGTCTTTGTTGATTGGTTCTTATTTCCTCACTTCTTATTTAAATTAGTGCACAGACTCTTCTTCTTCTCCTTCTGTTGTTTCCTTTTGAGTAGGTGTTATTTGGGTAGGTGGGTAATGAGTTGGTGGTCAAGATCTCCCCCTGCCAGAATTACCTTTAACCCACTTCTCCTCTAATCTTGGCAGTTCCAAGCGGTTCTTCATGGTGTACTAACCATACTAACAATTAATTTCTGGTTTTGAGAAGAATCTCCTGCTTATTAACAAAGCCACATTGTCTTAATTCTAATCTTAAATAAATCATAAGTAAATAATTAAATAGGATTAGGGCTTTAAGAGGACCTTTAGCAGCAACTGATTTCTCAATGATCATTTTCATGTTACACTTTACTCTTTTAATCAACACCGATTTCACAACACTGTAATCCTTTCTTGACATCAGCAGGCTGCTGTGCCCTATTCAGGGAAAATTCTGGAAATAGTAAATCCTACTTCAAAAAAATTTGGCTTAATGTCACTAACCCCATGTTATTTGAAGACGAAAGTCCTCAGTCTTCCAAACATATTGCAGCAGTGTGCTTATTGATCTTGTTACTTGTACCATCCTGAATTTTTGACTCGTGTTAAGGGTGTCCTGCAGATTCACAAACCTATCTGTCCTTAAATGATTCCTCATCTGTCTCTGTTATTCCCACTCTCATTTTCTTAGCTGATATTGATCAGTGTCCTAAAAGAAATGAAGGTATTTAGTATCTTCCTTCTTTCTTTCCTTCCATAAAAACCATTGTTTTAACCAAGTTTGATTTCTTCTGCACTATTTCAAAAACCTGCACAAGGGTCAGCGTCCTCTTTGAAGCTTGTGCTCCAGCAGCTTTTTTGAAGTATATAATATAATGAAACAGTCCAAAATGACCGAAGTCACTAGTTAGAGGTTTAGGCTAATTTTGTTTATGGTTCATAACTGTCATTGTATAAGAGACACTGCATGACTTTGAAAATCATTTTTAGTTCACAAGAATGTTGGCTTTTATTTTGTCTTAAAATGGGTGATGCTGCCCTCATTGATGTGTGAAGTAATAGTTTAGGCATTTCATGAAAAAAATATGCTTACTCATGGTTCTGCTGCATAATGGCTGCTAATGAAGCATAAATAAACATAGAATAATGGAATTATTTAGATTGGAAAAGACCTTTAAGATCATTGAGTTCAACCGTAAACCTAACACTGCTAAGTCCACCCCTAAACCATGTCCCTAAGTGCCACATCTACACGTCTTTTAAATACCTCCAGGGATGGTGACTCCACCACTGTTGCCCACCTGCGGGTTAAATGATGGCAAACTATGTATATGTATATAAAGTAAAACTTTATTATAATTGATAATGGTATTGTCAGGCTAAAAGGACATTGATTAGAATATCAACTACACGATAAAAATGCTATAGCAAATTATTAGTATATTTACTGTTGCTAAGACAAAAATTCAAAGCTAGCTTAAAAATCAATTAGTTGTAGAGATTGATGTTACTCACCCATATTGACAATTGTGGGCATCTCTTTCAAGGGGTATCCTTGAGGGATGTCCCCACTCAAGGGAGGAATATCCAAAGCACTCTGGGGAAGATTGCATTCAAATCCCTACCCTTTTACCTACTCTTCTAAAATAGGACTAGGCTTTTATAGAATAAAGTGATTGACAGACAGTTGTTGCTAAGCCAATCTTTCTAGCTCAGCAAGACACAGTTTATCTTTAACTGATTAACTCAGAGTTCTTTTGTTCTTCTTGGAGGGGGAGGAGAAATATCTTGTTTCATATCTTATCTTACAATTGTCTTGGGGTTGATGAGTTGATCATCGAGGTCTTTTGACACTAAGAAGAGTGTGACTCTCTCCCCACCAAGTCAGATAAGCTTTCACCAGAAGTCTCAGGCAAGTAGGGCCTCTACCCTCACCCAGGCGAATCGTCCTGCTACAACCACTTCCCTGGGCAGCCTGTTCCAATGCTTGACAACCCTTTCAGTGAATTTTTTTTCCCTAATATCTAATCTGAACCTCTCCTGGTGCAACATGAGGCCATTTCCTCTTGTCCTACCACTTGTTACTTAGGAGAACAGATTGACCCCCACCTCACTACAGCCTCCTTTCAGGTAGTTGTAGAGGGTGATAAGGTCTCCCCTCAGTCTCCTCTTCTCCAGACTAAACAACCCCAGCTCCCTCAGCCGCTCCTCATAAGGCTTGTTCTCCAGACCCTTCATCAGCTTTGTTGCTCTTCTCTGGACATGCTCCAGCATCTCAATGTCCTTTTTGTAGTGAGGAGCCCAAAACTGAACACATTATTTGAGGTGCGGCCTCACCAGTGCTGAGTACAGTGGGACAATCACTTCCCTGGTCCTGCTGTCCACACTATTCCTGATACAAGCCAGGATGCTGTTGGCCTTCTTGGCCACCTGGGCACACTGCTGGCACATGTTCAGCTGGCTGTTGACCAATACCCCCAGGTCCTTTTCTGCTGAGCAGCTTTCCAGCCACTCGTCCCCAAGCCTGTAGTGTTGCATGGGGTGTTTGTGACCTAAGTGCAGGACCCGGCACTTGGCCTTGTTGAAGCTCATACGATTGGCCTCAGCCCATTGATTCAGCCTATCCAGGTCTCTCTGCAGAGCCTTCCTACCCTCAGGCAGATCAACACTCCCACCCAACTTAGTGTCATCTGCAAACTTATTGAGAGTTCATTCAGATCCTCTCATCCATGTCATTGATAAAGATGTTAAACAGAACTGGTGTAATAGTGGTGTTTCTGAAATAACCTTCTAAGGTAAATTCACTTAGGTTTTATTTGCATCTTTAATAAATTAAAGAAGTAGTCAAGCTGTATAACCCTCTGTTCAATAATAGAGGATGATTTGAAGTAAAGACAGAGTAGTTTTCTCTTGTTAAATAATAATTACTTGTGGCTTGCTGAAAATTTCTAACACTTCTTAGAAACTTCATTTGCTGGAAAAGCAGTTGCTTTTTTGGGTGGAGAAAATAAAATTCATGCCAGGAAATCAGCAGACCAATTTAGTAGTGTTTTTAAGTGACTTTTAAAATAACATTCCCCAGGAGAAATTTCATTTCCCAGTTCTAGAAATGAGAATTGTATTGTCCTCATTCTCTAGGAAGTGACTGTGTTTGGGAAAGATCTTAGACTTAATATCCTTAGTGTTTCAGCTGTAATTAATCTTGCCTTACATGATATGTTTGTCCCTTTGATGGACTGATATCCGTTATGAAACAAATTGACCCTGGGCACTGCAAATTCCTTTCTTCTCTTGCTGAGCAAGGCATCAGCAATTCCTCATCCACTTATAATACTTGTTGTGGCAAAAAAAAGAATATTAGCAGTGTTTGAAGGCATTTTACTCAATTTGATTGACTGTAAGCATTAGAAATTCAAACCTGTATGTTTTCTGATTGATAAACTGCATCTCTGGCCAGACCTCTTTGATAAGATGGTGATTGATAGCTGTCATGGTTTAACCCAGCAAGCAGCTAAACACCATGCAACCACTCACTCAGTTTCTTCCTCCCTCCCCAGTGGGATAGGGGAGAGAATTGGGAGAGTAAAAGTAAAAGAACCTGTCAGTTGAGATAAAGACTATTTAATAATTAAACCAAACTGAAATAATAATAGTACCAATGAACTGTAATAAGAATAGGAACAATGATAATAAAACAACCAAAGTTATACTCAGTTCACAAACTGCAGTCACTGGCTGCGTGCCAATGAAAACGTGACAAGGGAGCCTCAGGAACCAAATCGGGCTGCCATCATGAAGTAAAATTGAAAGAAAGGAAGAAGAGAGGGAAGGAAGAGTCCTCCCCAGCAAACTGCCCAATTTACAGCAAGTGTGATGTTTGTGGGATAGAATACATCTTTATTGGTCTGCTTGGATCACACCCGGATCATCTGTCCTGGGTCACCTGCCCTAGAAAATCCTGGGCTTTCGCTTCCTCTCCATTCTCTTGTGCAGAGAGAAGGGAGAAAAAACAAACAAGCAAACAGAAGAAACTGTGAACACCTATTTATGCAGAGACTGGAAAACAAACCTTGAGATAATATACATATCTGCTGGGAAGAACCAAAATAAAAATCTCACCACCTACTATGAGGAAAATAACTCTGTCCCAGATAAAGCTATGATATCAACTTGTTTTCACTAAGTCAAACACTGCAGTTCTCTCAGAAATCAAGCTCTGCTGAAACAGAAAAGGGAATTCTACAATTCAGTCCCAGTAAAGCCAGGATAATAGTACACAGAACATCTTAACTCTATAAGATTATTTATGGGTAGATTTTTATTCTTTAAAAAAAGTACTTGTGGTGCATTGACCTTGGCTGGCTGCCAGGTACCCACCAAGCCGGTCTATCACTCCCCCTTCACAACTGGACAAGGGAGAGAAAAATATGATAAAAGTCTCATAGGTCAAGATAAGGACAGGGAGATCACCCACCAGTTACTGGCATGGGCAAAACAGACTCGACTTGGGAAAAATAATTAAATTTATTGCCAGTCAACAATGGAGTAGGATAATGAGAAATAAGAACAAATAAAAAACACCTTCCCCACACCCCTTCCTTCTTCCCAGGCTCAACTTCACTCCTGACTTCTCTCAGCTCCTCCCCCTGAGCGGTGCAGGGGTACGGGGAATAGGGGTTGCTGTCAGTTCATCACACGTTGTCTCTGCTGCTCCTTCCTCCTCACCCTCTTTTCCTGCTCCAGTGTGGGATCCCTCCCATGGGAGACAGTCCTCCATGAACTTCTACAACATGGGTCCTTCCCATGGGCTACAGTTCTTCACAAACTGCTCCAGCCTGAGTCCCTTTCACGGGGCCACAAATCGTGCCAGCAAACCTGCTCCAGTGTGGGCTCCTGTCTCCATGGGGTTGCCAGGAGCTTGCTCTAGTACAGGCTCTCCATAGGGTCACAGTTTCCTTCAGGGAACATCCATCTGCTCCTGCATGGGCTTCTCCATGGGCTGCAGGTGGATATCTGCTCCACTGTGGACCTTCGTGGGCTTCAGGGGGACAGCCTGCTTCACCATGGTCTGATGCCTGGAGCACCTCCTTCCCCTCAGATCGGTCTGGCTCATAGTTTAAACAGGTTTTGGTAATGTCTTGTGCACCAGGCGACTCACAGGGGATTGCGAGAGCAACTCAGCCTTGGATTGCCTTGAGGCTCTGTCTCTGCAGAGACCCATGGGGAGCTGTGTAGATAGCTCAGCCCTGAGTTGTCTGGTAAACAGGGCAATTCAAAGAACTGAAACCTGAGTTGAGCCTTGAAATCCCTCAATAAATAATATGCCCTGAGTCCCAATCAAACCACCATTCAATTGCCTAAAAGTAAGACAAAGGTAAACTGGAGGATTTCCATTTGGTTTCAACAGACCCAGACAATACAAAGATATGCAAGAGATAGAGCATACAGAAGGGAACATCACCCATGAATAAATAAAGACAGGGGAAACACTGCTAAAGACAAAACACCCCAGGTGGTATAATCCACTCAGGCACACTCCTGCACGCTGTCATGTTGACCAGAGAATAAAAACCCTAAGATTCATGCTGGAAATTGGGAGTTACTTCTCCAGCCATGCAGTGACAGGTGATGAGATCCTTCCCCCTTGCTCGAGATGCCAGCCAAGGTAACTTACGTGGGAGCCCTTCCCTGGAGGGGTAAGTGAATATTTGGCTTTAAGCTTGTAGTTGCAGATGATTGACTAACACACGTGTGGTATTCTGAGTTGTTTGAGAGTTGTGATAGTGTGTTCCATGAATCGCCTGTGAGTTGTAATAGTGAATTTTGTGAGTTGCCTGCAAGTTGTTGTGACTTGCCTATGGGCAGTAGTAGTGAGTTTTGTGACTGTTGTAGTTGTAATAGTGTACTCTTGTTTTTAAAACTGCAGTAGGGCATTTCTCCATTGTATCTGTAGAACCTGCAATAGTGGCGTATTGAATCTGCACGTGTTGTTCAAATAAATTGTTAGTTTGAATCCTGCAGTCGAGTCTCTCTTCGTCACACCACCTTTCTTCACTGACTTCACTGTCTGCTAAGTTGTTTCTTACTTCCCTCTTCCAGCTGCTGTTGTGCAGCAGTTTTTCCCCCTAAATATGTTATCACAGAGGTACTACCACAATCACTGATTGGCTCAGCCTTGGCCAGCAGTGGGTCTGTCTTGGAGCCAGCTGAAACTGGTTCTGTCTGACATTGGGACATCCTCTGGAGTCTTCTCATGGAAGCCACCCCTGTAGTTCCCTCCCTCACTACAAAAACCTTGCCACATAAACCAAATACGGTACTCAGCTGGGACCTTACAGTTTAAAGTCTTGCCTATATTAATTAGATTTATTTTTACAGAAATGCACAAGGCAGGCAAGTATTAAGCAAAGCATATTCTGGTTTTGTGTTTTCCAGCTTGGTGTTTCACTTGGCACTTTGGGGACTATACCAGCAGCGGCATTGGATTCTAACATTACGGCACTGGGAGAAATACCACAGCCACCAATTATGGGGAATGTGGACCCATCCAAAATTGATGAAATCAGAAGAACAGTTTATGTTGGAAACTTGAATTCACAGGTAACTTTTTTCTAAATGTCTATACTAATGGAAGATGCAGAATTAGCATTTATGAATTATAATCTTACATTTCAAGAGGTTTTGTTAGTTGATGCCAATAGGAATTTAAACAAAACAAAAAAATACTCTTTTTGGTTACCTGATATTTCAAATTCTGAATGCTTCTTTGCCAATCAGATCAGACCAGACTGTGGAATTCATTCTAGCCAGGATACCAGAGAAATCACACTGTAGCTGAATTCAAGAAATATACTTGTATTTGTGTGTATTGATCAAATGACCAGCTGGATTGTGTTAGCTAAGCAATGCCTCAGAATTCATAAAATCATGGTGATGAAAAATTGCAGAGGACGCTAAGTTGGGGAAGAGTGTTGATCTGACCAAGGATAGACAGGTTCTACAGAGGGACCCGGACAGGCTGGATCAGTGGGCTGTGGCCAATTGCATGAGGTTAAACAAGTCCAAGTGCCATGTCCTGCACTTGGGTCAGAACCACCCCATGCAACGTGACAGGCTTGGGGAGGAGTGGCTGGAGTGCAGCCTGGAGGAGAAGGACCTGGGGGTGTTGGTCTACAGTTGGCTGAATATGAGCTGGCAGTGTGCCCAGGTGGCCAAGAAGGCCAACAGCATCCTGGCCTACATCTGGAATAGTGTGACCAGCAGGACCAGGGAAGTGGTCCTTCCCCTGTACTCGGCACTGGTGAGGACATTGAGATGCTGGAGCATGTTCAGAGAAGGGCAACAAAGCTGGTGAAGGGTCTAGAGCACACGTCTTATGAGGATTGGGTGAGGGAGCTGAGGTTGTTTAGACTGGAGAAAAGGAGACTGAGGAGACGTTATCACCCTGTATAACTACCTGAAAGTAGGTAGTAGCGAGGTGGGGATTGGTCTCTTCTCCCTGGTAGCTAGTGATAGAACAGGGAGTAATGGCCTCAAGTTGCGCCAGGGGAGGTTTAGATTGGATATTAGGAGGAATTTCTTTACTTTAAGGGTTGTCAAGTGCTGGAAGGGGCTGCCCAGGGAGGCGATTGAGTCACCATTCCTGGAGGCATTTGAAAGACAAGTAGATGTCTTAGGGACATGATCTAGTGGCAGGCTTAGTAGGGCTGGATCAATGATTGAACTCTGATCTTAAAGATCTTTTCCAACTGAAACCATTCTATGGTAGCTGTCCCCCAAAACACTGTGCAGTTGCTTTAGTACAGTAAGGAGGAGTGATTTGTCCTACTGGAAGTTGCAAAATTAGCATAAATACCTTTGAGTTTCTCTGACAGGAAAGTTAAGTCTGTCAGGAATTTGTGGGTTTTTTCAGCAATTGAATTAATTAATTGAAAACCAATTTGCTTTTGACTGATGGCAATATAAGTATTTTGGTTTGGGGTTTTTTTGACTGCTAAAGTAGCTACTAGAGTGTAAAAGTACTGTTGTTCACAATAAAAGAAAACAAGCTGGAAGCTAGTAGAAAAACAGATAAAAGAGAACTCTTGTAATATAGTTTGGATTTTTTTTAATTGATCAAATTTTACAATGAATAGCTCAGACATAGGTGTATAATGAAATTCCTCATCAGTTATTTCAAAAGAGTTGTCTGAAAAGTGCAAAAACCTGTGCAAGTGCTTTTTAAAATTGTAGTATATTATTTAGATTAATGGGAAAAAAATCTTTCTCTCTTAAAGTGTAATATTATCAAATTCATGTTGCATGCGTATTAATGGTGAGATGTCCTTCAAAAATCTGTAGCTCTTAGATTACCTGATATGTTGGTTAAGTGGTTTTCATTATATATTTTACTTCAGCTGAGCTCTTTGACTCTTTCTAGACTACAACAGCAGACCAGCTGCTTGAATTCTTTAAGCAAGTTGGAGAAGTCAAATTTGTGCGAATGGCAGGTGATGAGACGCAACCAACACGATTCGCTTTTGTGGAATTTGCAGACCAAAATTCTGTACCTCGAGCTCTTGCCTTTAATGGAGTTATGTTTGGAGACAGGCCACTCAAGTAAGAAATTAATTATCCATATAAATATTGAATGAGTTAGTGAAAGCCATAACAGTGAGAGAATCTGCAAAGTCCTTGGTACTAATTAAACTTTATATATGATGTGTACGTAATTAGTAGGCCTTAATGTAGAGATTTGATCTGAAATAGAGAAACAGATTTCTAGACTTCTACTAGAAAATATTTTAACACAGAAATATTGTGCTGCTATTTAAGTAAGATTTTAAAGCAGTGAAAGACAGACATTTCAAATACTTAGAACAGATGAGTGTTAGGAAAAATCTATAGTTTTGCTGTACTTTGAAGTTTGTAGTCATATGTGGAAGTTGAAGTGTTTTCTTATTTGTTTTTCATTTTCCTTTTTCATGAATTTGAGTGTTAAAGGTTTTATTTTTCCTTAATTTAGAATAAATCACTCCAATAATGCAATAGTGAAGCCTCCTGAAATGACACCACAAGCTGCTGCCAAAGAACTTGAGGAAGTGATGAAGAGAGTAAGGGAGGCCCAGTCTTTCATATCTGCTGCTATTGAGCCAGGTAGGTATATTATGTTCATTACCTAATAGACATGTTCTGTGTATACCTTGGCACATGCTTTAAAGAGCACTTTCAAACACAGGAAAAGGGCACTCAAAGGTAAGCAACATGTGGGGAGGAAACAAAAGAAAAATATCTAAATTGTCTTCATGCAATAAAGCAGTGGTATGAAGCTGACTTTTTCTTTCATCATATCTTATTTTCAGATACATGCTCACTGAATATTTTCAAAAATACAAAGTCAATACTAAATTAATACTTACTGTTGGTGCTTTTAAAGTTCAAAGTACTTACAAAGTTAAAAATGCTTTATATTTTGGTTTTTTCTCTTCTAGCACCCATTAATGCCATAGTTTTGTGATCAGAGGGAGCTAGCATGCTGCTGAAAGAAGCAATATTATTCTTTCCTTCAGCCGTTTAATTTTGTTACTGTACTTTGCTCTTTTTCATGCTGGCTCAAGACTATGTGCATCCTCATAGCAAATGGGATCAGAGATTTTTATTTTTTTTTAAGTAGTTATGTTAAATAATATAACGGAGGAGAATGTGTCTTAACCTTGTGCATTGTGGCAGCAACATAAATCCCATTCCTAACAGAGCTAGCTGTTTATAATTATCTGGTTTATGTGTACTGCTGCAGGATGGCTGCACTCAATGAGTATATGCAATGACTTTCTTGGATGTTTCCGAAGGATATTTGCAAAGAAGGAAGATGTGCAAAACGTAGGCCCCTTGCACTCTGTGTGGTACATTACACTTGTGTTAGATCATTAACTGAGATCTTTAAATGTTCTGAGCTTACACTGCAAAGTGGTTTTTTCCTCTCAGAGTCTGGAAAGAGCAATGAAAGAAAAGGTGGTCGAACTCGTTCCCATTCTCGTTCAGAATCCAGGTATAGCTCAAAATCCCAATCTAGAAGGAAAAGATCACACTCAAAACACAGGTAGGTATGTTTTTTATTTTGGACTAAGATCATACTGGGGTTTTTTTGAGTGGTGGTGGTTACTGAGATTTCTTACTCAGTTGAGATAAGTATCATAGAATCATAGAATGGTTTTGGTTGGAAAAGAGCTTTATGATCATCGCGGCCAACCAT